ACAGTGTAACATAAAAAAAAAGACTAACATGTAATATAATTGATCTAATATTGTTGCAAATTATATAACTTAACTGAATTACATGTAAGTACCTTCACTTCTTCTTCGACTTTGGTCCTGACTTTGTGAGTCTTTTGGCCTGGAAAAGCAAGTGGAATGCATCAAAAATTGTAAGGCACTTACATGTAAGAAATGCATTATAACTTCAGCTTTTCCAAATTCATTATTTTTTGACACTAACGAACATAAATTTATGTTTATTTTGAATAATTGCAATAGTTGCAATACATGTAGTTGCAATAGTAATGCTACATGTACATTATGCCATCTATCATCATAAAGGAACTGAAATAGCCACTTGACTTCTTGAGTGTTTTGATGTTTCAAACTTCACTTTTGCAGTACATGTAGCTTGTGTACAAAGTCATGTAACTAATAATGATAAAATTCCATTTTTAATTCAGGAAAAAAAGAACGTAATTACTCAGTCTGTTATAGGTAACAATATTCATGGGTGAACGCACAGTCATAAAACAAATAAAATTTCTGGCCCAACTAACATTTCTTCTTGTTCTTCTAATGGAGTCGATCTTGCTACTTGCTCCACGGATGGAGTTGACCTTGGCACTTGCTCCACTAATGGTGTTGACCTTGCTACTTGCTCCTCTGACGGTGTCAAGCTTGGTAATTTCTCAGGACTTGCTACTGTAAAAATAAACCAAAAAAGTAGTCTTTATCGTGATCAAGCAATAATTGCCAACGAGTCATACCTTTTGACTAATTTGACTACACTGTGCCTCAAAATGCCCGCAGATGCCGAGATCATGAAGAGACGTTGGAGATGGGTAGGTCATACTTTTTGCAAGCCTCAAACGAACATCACAAGGCAAGCCCTGACCTGGAACCCCCAGGGTAAGAGGAGGAGGGTGGTCAAGAAACTCATGACTTCGGACCTGGAAGCAGACATCAGGAGATTGGGGCTGACCTGGAGCCAGCTAGAGAGGAAAGCCCAGGACAGAGACGTCTGGAGGACCCTTGTTGGCAGCCTATGCCCCAGGCAGGGTACTAGACGTAAGTAAGTAAGTAAGTGCCTAAAAACCTAGCTGATAAACTGCAAATCAACAATTTTTGTACATGTACCTCTGGGCACTGGGGTTAGGCCTCGCAGTTTTTTGTAAGCCATTAAATGGCTTAAGGTCAAAACAGCTGCTCAGTAGCTCTACATCAACAGTTGAACAAACACTCATAAAACCAACTGCAGTGCCCTTCACCTGAACATAAAAAAAATAAAAAATAAATACATTATTAATACTTTTTGAAAAAAATTTAAGTCCATCATTGTGATTTCTAATACTACATATAATTACCAAAGAATAGCAGTACATGTATTTGTCCACATTTGAACCTACAATTCTTGTCTAAAGTCTAAGGGCAATTTACCATTTCGCCTAAAAATGGTCTTTTTAATATTGTATTCACCTACCCCTCCCCACTGCATAATGATGAGTTTTATCCATCCAACCTTGCAACAATATTTCAACATTGTCATGGGGGTACTGGGGGGCTTGGAGTGGTATTACATTATCAGCTTATTACACCATCAACTTACATCTGCAACAACACATTTATTTTTTCATCTTGGGCTTCTATGAGTTCAGCCAAGAAGAAGTCACCTGAAAGACAGTAGTGAAACAATACAATAAATAATTTAATTTGTATAATTATTATATAATTTAATTATTATTATAATTATAATATAATTATTATAATTATAATATAATTATTATAATTATAATATAATTATTATAATAATTTGTATAATTATTATACAAATAAAATATATATGTAAATGTACCTTGTATATAAATAGATGTACACAATCATCTACATGTAGCCAGTTGTTAGCAAGGTAAGTAAGGTTAAACTGTACTTGGGCCAACAACTGGTTCACACTGCCAGATCAAGCTTATATTAATCCTAGTTTCTGTAGTATGATAGTGGGCGATATTTCCACATTAACATACAACTTACCATATGTAGAGGTGAGGACATCACTTTGACGATTGAAGATTGGTGTGAGATCATCGTGATCTTCTACCCTGTGGAAAACAATAGAATAATATATGATATATAGCTCCAATAAACTGCTAATACATGTAGATTAATATCAAAATGTACATACAAGTACATGTAAATTTATATCAAAATCAAAGACAAAAAAGCACTGACCTTGCCGATCTGATGTGCAGTTTTGCACAGTGATCATGGCGATGACAGACTTGCACTTCAATATTCAATCTCCCTGTAAAACTCTCCTTAAATGCCATTGGTTTAAATAACTCAGTCAGCGTTGATCCTGTCGAATGGAGAGTTTGAATCTGATTGCTTATAATACAATAATTTACTAGTAAGAGCTGTTTACCATACTGTATACTGAAACAGTACAACTGTACAGTACATGATATAACCCTGCTACAGTATGCATGCATTGTTTACATGTTAATTAACACAGAGGGAAAAATTACTGAATTCTGATTGGTTTAGACAGAGGACATTTTTCGTTAATTTTGTTTGTTGAGGTTAAAATTACTCCAAAGATTCCTGAAGATTGCCCAAATTTTTGAACGTGCTCAGAAGGTCAGCAAATAATATTATATTATTTCCGATAGCTTCCCAAAAATGTCTGAAGACCACCCGTTGTCTTTATCACACTAATGTTGCCCTTTACGTTACTAACATGAATGGCATGATTCCTCATAAAATTAAGGATTACTACAAATGTATATCACTGTCTTGTGTTATCAGAATTTGCAAATTAAATTGCCCTTGTTGCTATGCGACTCGGAAAATTTCTGCACACATGTATACTGACCTGTCTCAACTCCTCTTGGCACAACAAGGAAAATGTAATGGAGAAATGGAACGGCATTGAATACAGTTCTGGAAAAAAAGTGTTCATTTCCCAATTATTTCCTTCTAGGCAATTTTACAGTAGACAAAGATAACAGTAAAAAAAATTCACTGATTCAAAAACACTGGCAGGAGTACACAAGTAGTGCATTGTGTAAATGAGCTCAAAACTACCAAACAGAAGGTAACGGAACTGTGTTATGACAATTTTAGGACAAAGACCAGGCATTGGACATGTGCATTGTATCCTGGGGGTCACTGACGGCGGTGTCATTGGAAATTTTTTACCCGAATCTTGTTTTGTGGGTGCGGCTCAAAATTCATTTTTGTACCAATTATAATAATAAAACAAAACTAGTTTCTGTCATATATGTTTTTGTCTGGCTTATAATACCCTAAAAGTTACCAGGATAACTCTAACGGTGGTCACTTCACATTGTACAGTGTAGATTTAATTTTATTATATACATACAGAGATTTACTCACTGGAAAGCCGCAAAGTAAATTTTCGTTCGCAAGCTGGTGTAAGCCAATCAAATGACACGTATCGCTTTTTCACGTGTGAGAAAAATGATACATCCAATCAGGAGCCGCGTATCATGTTTTTTGACGTGTGAGCCGTAACAAGTTGATGTTTCATTCAAGGCTGATTGGCGGCGTTTCGCATCGACACACGTTCTTCGTCAGTTAAAATTATAGAATTTCAGCGTTTATGTTTAAGCTTACTTTTCTCTAAAAACATGAGTGAAAGGCAGTTTGCTGTCTACAATTCTTTGGTGGAAGATTACGTCGAAAGTCTGGAGAACAAGAACACAAAAGAAAATCGAAGCGGGACATAAAATTGTTGAAAGAATTGAGAAACGAAAACACGACGAGCGAGAGTTGTACACCATGGCACCAGAAGAACTGGACAAGTATCTTGCAGAGTTTATTCGCTCTGTTAGACGTATTAAAGATGGAGAAGATTTCGAACCCTCAAGTTAAGAAGCCTCGCGTCGAGTTCAAGTTTTGAGAGGCATTTTACCCAGCTAGTGTCCTAGTGTCATACAATTTGAGTTGACTCAAAAATGTCTACATTCAAAACAAAAAGAAATAAAAAAGCTGGCCGCGGTAACAAGGACAAAGCCAAAGCAAGGTCAGGCTTTAATTTACACTTTATATTTCATGTTTTTGTTTTGTTTCACTTGGCCAAATGGCGTTTTAAGCCTATATAGCTGTTATAAGCTTTTGAATGTTGCTTGTCGACTTGCATTTGTGAATAAAAATTGTCATTAAACTGGGTTTTAAATCTCTGTATGTATATAATAAACATAATACAACATGGAAAGTGCTTTGTACAGTATTTACGCACGAGTTGGTTTGTATCAGAAATCTCACTCGTTCACTGTGCTCACTCGTTCGATTTCTGACACATCACCAACTGGTGCGTAAATACCGTACGCGCACACTTTCCATGAAGTACATTGTATTCTATAAATACCCTATAAGCAATACCAAATCATGAATTTTACATGTAACCCCTAAAAAGTATGACGATCACCCCGTCACTTTTATATGGGAATCCCCCTGGTCATTATACAATGTAAACTACAGTCTGTTTAGTTTCTCGCTAGGACCTGTCTGCATGTATGTGCAAAGTATGAACAAAATCAATTTTTTTCTTACTTGTGCCGCTGTTTGGTTGATATTTACAGATAATCGCTTGAAATGTAAGAGCAATCTGAATGGATATCTGGAGTACTGAGTACAGTATGTATAAAATGTACTTACCTAATAATTTCTGTTGCACAGCCATATGCAAAATCAGACTTGGCTACAAAGTAGTTCATGAAGAGGGTGTTTAGAGGCTAATTGAAAAATAAAAAAGTGTATAATTAAAATAAAATAAAAAAAGATAATAATAGAATTTTATTATGAACAAATAGCCTAAGTACATGTAAACAGATATCTCTCATCAATTTCCCATACTGTATGACTGTGTAAGAAATGAGCACATGAATATATATAGCTTCTATGAGAAAGATGTTTCTCAGTCATGCAGTGACACAAGCTAGGTTATATTGGCCTAAGCTACCACTCTACCCCTGCACTGTAGCTCAGGGGTAGAGCGTCTGACTGGTGTGCAGAAGGTCATACATTGTAGGTTTGACTCCTGTTGGGAGAACGTTTTTTCCGAGTAGGAGTAGCTTGTGTCACTGACTGATAAACATCTTTCTCTTATTTCTATCAAGCTTACAAATTCACCATCATTTCTTTCTACATATACATGTAGCTTCTACATGTAGTTTCTCAGCCTACTGTTCATGTACAGTAAATCTTTTTTATTATACGACATAGCATTTTAGAGTCTCTAAAAATGCTATGTCGTATAATAAAAAAAGATTTACTGTACATGAACAGTAGGCTGAGAAACTACATGTAGAAGCTACATGTATATGTAGAAAGAAATGATGGTGAATTTGTAAGCTTGATAGAAATAAGAGAAAGATGTTTATCAGTCAGTGACACAAGCTACTCCTACTCGGAAAAAACGTTCTCCCAACAGGAGTCAAAACTACAATGTATGGACCTTCTGCACACCAGTCAGACGCTCTACCCCTGAGCTACAGTGCAGGGGTAGAGTGGTAGCTTAGGCCAATATAACCTAGCTTGTGTCACTGCATGACTGAGAAACATCTTTCTCATAGAAGCTATATATATTCATGTGCTCATTTCTTACACAGTCATACAGTATGGGAAATTGATGAGAGATATCTGTTTACATGTACTTAGGCTATTTGTTCATAATAAAATTCTATTATTATCTTTTTTTATTTTATTTTAATTATACACTTTTTTATTTTTCAATTAGCCTCTAAACACCCTCTTCATGAACTACTTTGTAGCCAAGTCTGATTTTGCATATGGCTGTGCAACAGAAAATTATTAGGTAAGTACATTTTATACATACTGTACTCAGTACTCCAGATATCCATTCAGATTGCTCTTACATTTCAAGCGATTATCTGTAAATATCAACCAAACAGCGGCACAAGTAAGAAAAAATTGATTTTGTTCATACTTTGCACATACATGCAGACAGGTCCTAGCGAGAAACTAAACAGACTGTAGTTTACATTGTATAATGACCAGGGGGATTCCCATATAAAAGTGACGGGGTGATCGTCATACTTTTTAGGGGTTACATGTAAAATTCATGATTTGGTATTGCTTATAGGGTATTTATAGAATACAATGTACTTCATGGAAAGTGTGCGCGTACGGTATTTAACGCACCAGTTGGTGATGTGTCAGAAATCGAACGAGTGAGCACAGTGAACGAGTGAGATTTCTGATACAAACCAACTCGTGCGTAAATACTGTACAAAGCACTTTCCATGTTGTATTATGTTTATTATATACATACAGAGATTTAAAAACCCAGTTTAATGACAATTTTTATTCACAATGCAAGTCGACAAGCAACATTCAAAAGCTTATAACAGCTTATATAGGCTTAAAACGCCATTTGGCCAAGTGAAACAAAACAAAAACATGAAATATAAAGTGTAAATTAAAGCCTGACCTTGCTTTGGCTTTGTCCTTGTTACCGCGGCCAGCTTTTTTATTTCTTTTTGTTTTGAATGTAGACATTTTTGAGTCACTCAAATTGTATGACACTAGGACACTAGCTGGGTAAAATGCCTCTCAAAACTTGAACTCGACGCGAGGCTTCTTAAACTTGAGGGTTCGAAATCTTCTCCATCTTTAATACGTCTAACAGAGCGAATAAACTCTGCAAGATACTTGTCCAGTTCTTCTGGTGCCATGGTGTACAACTCTCGCTCGTCGTGTTTTCGTTTCTCAATTCTTTCAACAATTTTATGTCCCGCTTCGATTTTTCTTTTGTGTTCTTGTTCTCCAGACTTTCGACGTAATCTTCCACCAAAGAATTGTAGACAGCAAAACTGCCTTTCACTCATGTTTTTAGAGAAAAGTAAGCTAACATAAACGCTGAAATTCTATAATTTTAACTGACGAAGAACGTGTGTCGATGCGAAACGCCGCCAATCAGCCTTGAATGGAAACATCAACTTGTTACGGCTCACACGTCAAAAAACATGATACGCGGCTCCTGATTGGATGTATCATTTTTCTCACACGTGAAAAAGCGATACGTGTCATTTGATTGGCTTACACCAGCTTGCGATACGAAAATTTACTTTGCGGCTTTCCAGTGAGTAAATCTCTGTATGTATATAATAAAATTAAATCTACACTGTACAATGTGAAGTGACCACCGTTAGAGTTATCCTGGTAACTTTTAGGGTATTATAAGCCAGACAAAAACATATATGACAGAAACTAGTTTTGTTTTATTATTATAATTGGTACAAAAATGAATTTTGAGCCGCACCCACAAAACAAGATTCGGGTAAAAAATTTCCAATGACACCGCCGTCAGTGACCCCCAGGATACAATGCACATGTCCAATGCCGGGTCTTTGTCCTAAAATTGTCATAACACAGTTCCGTTACCTTCTGTTTGGTGGTTTTGAGCTCATTTACACAATGCACTACTTGTGTACTCCTGCCAGTGTTTTGAATCAGTGAATTTTTTTTACTGTTATCTTTGTCTACTGTAAAATTGCCTAGAAGGAAATAATTGGGAAATGAACACTTTTTTTCCAGAACTGTATTCAATGCCGTTCCATTTCTCCATTACATTTTCCTTGTTGTGCCAAGAGGAGTTGAGACAGGTCAGTATACATGTGTGCAGAAATTTCCGAGTCGCATAGCAACAAGGGCAATTTAATTTGCAAATTCTGATAACACAAGACAGTGATATACATTTGTAGTAATCCTTAATTTTATGAGGAATCATGCCATTCATGTTAGTAACGTAAAGGGCAACATTAGTGTGATAAAGACAACGGGTGGTCTTCAGACATTTTTGGGAAGCTATCGGAAATAATATAATATTATTTGCTGACCTTCTGAGCACGTTCAAAAATTTGGGCAATCTTCAGGAATCTTTGGAGTAATTTTAACCTCAACAAACAAAAATTAACGAAAAAATGTCCTCTGTCTAAACCAATCAGAATTCAGTAATTTTTCCCTCTGTGTTAATTAACATGTAAACAATGCATGCATACTGTAGCAGGGTTATATCATGTACTGTACAGTTGTACTGTTTCAGTATACAGTATGGTAAACAGCTCTTACTAGTAAATTATTGTATTATAAGCAATCAGATTCAAACTCTCCATTCGACAGGATCAACGCTGACTGAGTTATTTAAACCAATGGCATTTAAGGAGAGTTTTACAGGGAGATTGAATATTGAAGTGCAAGTCTGTCATCGCCATGATCACTGTGCAAAACTGCACATCAGATCGGCAAGGTCAGTGCTTTTTTGTCTTTGATTTTGATATAAATTTACATGTACTTGTATGTACATTTTGATATTAATCTACATGTATTAGCAGTTTATTGGAGCTATATATCATATATTATTCTATTGTTTTCCACAGGGTAGAAGATCACGATGATCTCACACCAATCTTCAATCGTCAAAGTGATGTCCTCACCTCTACATATGGTAAGTTGTATGTTAATGTGGAAATATCGCCCACTATCATACTACAGAAACTAGGATTAATATAAGCTTGATCTGGCAGTGTGAACCAGTTGTTGGCCCAAGTACAGTTTAACCTTACTTACCTTGCTAACAACTGGCTACATGTAGATGATTGTGTACATCTATTATATACAAGGTACATTTACATATATATTTTATTTGTATAATAATTATACAAATTATTATAATAATTATATTATAATTATAATAATTATATTATAATTATAATAATTATATTATAATTATAATAATAATTAAATTATATAATAATTATACAAATTAAATTATTTATTGTATTGTTTCACTACTGTCTTTCAGGTGACTTCTTCTTGGCTGAACTCATAGAAGCCCAAGATGAAAAAAATAAATGTGTGTTGCAGATGTAAGTTGATGGTGTAATAAGCTGATAATGTAATACCACTCCAAGCCCCCAGTACCCCCATGACAATGTTGAAATATTGTTGCAAGGTTGGATGGATAAAACTCATCATTATGCAGTGGGGAGGGGTAGGTGAATACAATATTAAAAAGACCATTTTTAGGCGAAATGGTAAATTGCCCTTAGAACTTTAGACAAGAATTGTAGGTTCAAATGTGACAAATACATGTACTTGCTATTCTTTGGTAATTATATGTAGTATTAGAAATCACAATGATGGACTTAAATTTTTTTTCAAAAGTATTAATAATGTATTTATTTTTATTTTTTTTTTATGTTCAGGTGAAGGGCACTGCAGTTGGTTTTTATGAGTGTTTGTTCAACTGTTGATGTAGAGCTACTGAGCAGCTGTTTTGACCTTAAGCCATTTAATGGCTTACAAAAACTGCGAGGCCTAACCCCAGTGCCCAGAGGTACATGTACAAAAATTGTTGATTTGCAGTTTATCAGCTAGGTTTTTAGGCACTTACTTACTTACTTACGTCTAGTAACCCTGCCTGGGGCATAGGCTGCCAACAAGGTCCTCCAGACGTCTCCTGTCCTGGGCTTTCCTCTCTAGCTGGCTCCAGGTCAGCCCCAATCTCCTGATGTCTGCTTCCAGGTCCCGAAGTCATGAGTTTCTTGACCACCCCCTCCTCCTCTTACCCTGGGGGTTCCAGGTCAGGGCTTGCCTTGTGATGGTTCGTTTGAGGCTTGCAAAAAGTATGACCTACCCATCTCCAACGTCTCTTCATGATCTCGGCATCTGCGGGCATTTTGAGGCACAGTGTAGTCAAATTAGTCAAAAGGTATGACTCGTTGGCAATTATTGCTTGATCACGATAAAGACTACTTTTTGGTTTATTTTTTACAGTAGCAAGTCCCTGAGAAATTACCAAGCTTGACACCGTCAGAGGAGCAAGTAGCAAGGTCAACACCATTAGTGGAGCAAGTGCCAAGGTCAACTCCATCCGTGGAGCAAGTAGCAAGATCGACTCCATTAGAAGAACAAGAAGAAAATGTTAGTTGGGCCAGAAATTTTATTTGTTTTATGACTGTGCGTTCACCCATGAATATTGTTACCTATAACAGACTGAGTAATTACGTTCTTTTTCCTGAATTAAAA